ATGAATCTGCCTGCCACTCAAGAGGGCTGATTAGATGTGCCAGAGACATTATCTCAGTCAGTCACTTCCTCCTTCACCTGGGTAGCTGCTGCTCCACATAAGCAACTTTGCAGAGTTGTTATTAGAAGAATACTGTGCCACGAGATGTCCTCAGGTTTAGAAAATATGCACAGAATTATTTATGTTCCATGAAGCATAACACCAAAAACTTAATCTCAAGTGGTTCGGGAAAACTAGGTGTGTGTGGGTTCAGAGAACAAACTGAAAGAAAGAACAAAGCAAGCATGGTAGAATGTCAACAGCTAGGGAATCCAGACATTCTCCTATTACCCCCCCCCTTCCCCTTTTATTCCTACAGCGCTGGGATTGAATTCACTCGCCAGGCAAGTGCTATGCCTCTGAGTCACCCTTAGCCTTTGGCTTTTTTGAGACATGATCTCTCTATATTGTTCGGGGTGTCTTCCAGCTCATGATCCCGTTACCTCTACCTCCTGACTACTGGTATCACTGGAGGGTTGCCACAATGCTCAGCTTCCCAACTCTTTCACAAGTCTGAGAGATTCTTTCAAAATAATTAAAAAAAAAAAAAAAACCGCCAACCTCAAACCATCACTGTATTCTCTAAACAAGCCGATGATGTCATGCAAGGGCACTCTCATCTTGTAAGCATCCCCATTGCTGGCTCCCTTCATGGCGGTGGGGGAGGGGACAGAATCATACAGATATCCACACTTGCTGTTCTGACTTTGGCTCTTGCTACAAGGAAAGTTATTCTAGTTTTTCCTACCTCCTTTTGATAAAGTAACTACAATAATTTCCCAAGGAAGGCAGTCTCCTACCTGTGCATTCAGGGATGTTTAGTTCTTGGTGGTGACGTTACAGGATAACACCCTTTCTCTAATGTCCCTCCAAGTACAGTAGCTATTTCTGGCTTGTCTGGGAAGTGGCTATTGTGCTTTTTTGTGCCAATGGATAGAACTCAAGAGGGAAAAATATCAATTAACTCTATGCTTTCTCTGTATCTGGGGAGATGGAGTGAAGACTGCCCTGCAGTCAGAGTGGCTCATTAGCATCTAGGACCTTTTACTTTTTAGTCCAAGCAGAAAGACGGGACTGTCTTTCCCTTGGTGAGAGTCAGGTGGCCAAGCAGGCTGGCTATATTGCTCCTGTGCTGTACGGCCTTGCTTGCTTGAGGCCCCAGGAGGGCAGGGGCATTCAATTCTTCTGTAACTGAAGATGGACCTTTTCAGAGGTGACATGTCTTTACATGTTTTTACAGCATCTCTTTCATGGAGTTGTCCACATATGGACAGACTTGACTTTCTTTTAAGGACTTGGGTTGGCTGTGGGCACATCACAACTAAAGCTTACTCTGTGTTTCCTAGAGAAGCTCACTGGGACTGGGCTGGATGGCATTTTTTTTTTTTTTTTCATCGGGTCAAGGGGGCAGCTGTCTAGTAGCTTTACCTCTGGGTTGGTACAGCACATCTGTTTGCCTTTTCTTTAAAACAAATTAGCACAGGAAGCCTCTACCTGGCCTGGGGATAATCTTGGCTTCACAGTGGTACATGGTAGGCTCTGGGGGACAGACATGGCTCTGTTGAGGACTGGGCCTTCTCACCGTTGTTCATTGTAGGACAAATTCTTCCCTCACTGCTGAGACTTCAGACCCCATATTTGAAACTGATTGCTCTAGTCTCGTTGCTATCTTATATATGTGACCTCTTACAGTAGGCGGGCCACTGAAGTACTGTGGGTCTTGACTTTAATGTCAGATGGAAGACCCTGTATAGAACTTCCCAATGGTTCTATACCATAGAGGGTCTTTTGCTGTGACACCACACTTTGCATGACACTTTGGTCTAAAGGTTAACCAAGTTGTTGTTCAAGTGATAAAACATATAAACAGACGACAGCAAGGGAACCTTGATTCTTCTAGGTAAGTTCCATGTCTGCCCTGCTATGTAACTCCTCTCCCCTCCTGGTGTGTGTGTGGCAGGGGCAGCAGGGGTGGTGTCAGTAATTCTGAAATCATTTTCTTTGGAGGTTTACGAGTAAAGAAGTAGTAGAAAACAAAAACAAAACCACAACAGAACACACCAATAGACTCCTGAATCTCTACAAGCACAGTTGAGATCCCTGCAGCAGCCAGCCAATATTGTGAGCACTTGAAGTCCCACAGCTGGTATGTGACAATAAGCAAGGGCTTAACTCCATGGAAGCCAGAGCAGTACAAAGGGGAGAACAGCTAATAGCCCTTAATCCTGAAGATCTCAGGGAAACCCAGCCATCAGTGCTTGTTAGAAACCCACTGGGAAGATCCCACCAAGATGGACAAGGTTGTCAGCCAGGCCTCTGAGGGCTGCTCAGAGGTAGGAGTGGCAGTGGGCCCTTGGAGCCAGGCTCACTGGGAGGACATGGAAGAAAGCCAGAGGCTGTGGGTGTTTACAGCAGCAACCGAGAGGCCTATGTTGCTCATCCTGCTTCCAATTAACTACCTGTTGGAGCACCCTGGCTCCTTTTTTTCTGCATACTCCTCTGAGTTTGCATTTAACCATGGCCCAGAGAGGCATGTTTCATGGGGAAGATGGGAAGCCACGCCCCAGAGAAGCTTCTGACTGCCATCCTTTCTCCCCGCTCCCTGTGCTAACCATATTGTGACTTTGACCACATTCCTTTCCTCTGTGTTAAATGACCTTTCAACTGATAACCTGTTCTTGGTGGGGTGGTTCCACACCAGCCCCTTGCCATGCAGACAGAGTGATCCTCCTCACCTGAGATTAGGAGGCCACTGTCTTGGGTCTGTAGCATGAGGGTCAGGGTAGGGGCTGAGTTTAAGGGTGACACTGTGACCAGGTGCATCCAACCTCACTTGCCTCTCACTCTTTCCCCCTTAACTGTGTCTCCCTCCTCTAGGGCCTGGCTTCTGTCCCTGGATTCTTTCTGGCTCCCCACTCCTTGAGCACAGGATTGAGGGCCAGAGACCTCACTGTAAGCAGCCATGGCCTTGTTCTTTACCAGACCTATAGTTTTAGAAACTTTGTTTTCCATTTCTGTTTCTGTGATTCTGGGGGTTGTTTCTTCACAGCAATGTATTCCTTTTTTAAACTAGCACAGAGTACAAACAAACCGCAGTCGGTTGGGAATAAAAAAATAAACACTGCTCACACATCAGCTGTTACTGTAGAAATCACCGTATGATCCTTCCATGACTCAAGGGGGAAGAGCTCACATTCTTAGCTTTCTGAGCTAAGTCACCCTGGTTTTTTTTCTCTACTTGAGAGTTTAAGGCCAACTACCTACAAAAAGTGGGAGACTAGAACGGTTTGTTTCTGAACTCAAGGTGAGAAGAACCTCGTGGTTGGGTTTGTGGCATTCCACCTCTTTCTAAAAGTGACAGACTAGTTATTCCTCTCGGCTTGGTCCTTTAAGGAGGGTCCACGGGGCTCGGGGTGGGGGTGGGGTTTGCCTCTTGCTCTTGTGGAGAAACAGGCCTTGCTCCAGACGACTGCCAACCGTTCACATCTTAATTTGGGAAGATAAGGCAGCTGTGAACAAACTCAAACACTGTCCTGCTGAGGCATCTTCACCGCCCTCCCCGTCATCTCTCAAGTTTACATCCTGGTCTTGTGGACTGAAGAAGAGGGCCTCCTAAGAGCACCCAAGTCCAGGGCTGGCAGAGGAGATGCTGGGCCCTGTGGGCCGTGGGGGATAGGGAGTGGGGTAGAAGCAGACAGTGATTCAGGGGGAGTCAACTGACCTGATTAATTTTAGTTTGTCTTCAGTCTGTGCTAAAAATGTCTGAGGAGAATAAAGTTCAGCGGACTTGCCACAGCCAATGCTATTTTTGGCACACAGGGCACGTGGGCACATCTGAGGAAGGATTTGCTGCTCCTACTCAGCAACTCTGCCACCACAGGGGTCCCCTTGGCCTGCTCAGGCTTCTGTTCAGAGACAGATTGGGGCCGATCGATCGATCGGCAGGGTGGAGCTCTGACACTGACTGTGGACTATGGCAGCTTGTCTTCCAGTCTCTGAAGAGCACGGGCAGAGGCTCACTGGGGCTAAGACTTGGAAGGGGGGTTAGATACCCTGGGTACTGTGTAGAAGCAAGTGGATTGTGTGAGGGGTTGGGGCTTTAAAGACACTCTTAGTTTAGTTCTAGGGACAGATGCCATAAGAAGGGGCATAGTGGCTGCCATTCAATACCAGAAGAAGCTGTGGGGCTGTCATCACCAAACATACCAAGACACTGTAGTGAGAAAGGACCACTGATGCCATCCTTCCCAAATCTGTAAGCTGTGTCTTCTATCGAGTTCTTCTGTCTCTCTGTGTTTTGGTTTTCTCAAATGCAAAGTGGGGACAATTGTGTCTACCTCACAGGGGTGTTGGGAGGACTATGTGAATTAATGTTTAAAAAGAGCCTGGAACAGGGGCCGTCATATGATGGGTTATATAGGGTTTTAAAGATGGGAATCATATAGTAGGAGCTGAAAAAAGCCAGCAATGGTGGAGCTGGTGGCAGCCACCCACCCCTCACGGTGGATGCAGAAGCCACTGTGGGAACTGTGTCCACACCCTGCCTGTGAGCTGGTGGAGATTTAGGTGTGCTTCAGGGTCCCATGAGGGGCAGGTTGTCGGGAGGCCTGTGGAGCAGGCAGATCTAGGGGTAAGCTAGCAACAGATTGAAGGCCCAAGTCCTGTCAAGGACCAGGGCAAAGCTCTACAGGTACAATATCCCCAGAGTCCAGGGCACAACCTGGTGGTCAATGGCTTGGGTGTTCTGTGGCCATTGTTAAGCAGGCAAGGGAGATTAAGAGTCTGTGCATCTCTCCTCTCTCTGTTCTCACTTTGAAAAGGCAGCAGAGCCCATGGCTGTGCACCACGGCTGGTGACTCGACTGTTTTCTTTACTCGGCCAAGGCCAGAGAAAGGGAGAGAGGGCCACACCCGGGATCAGGAACCCAGCGCAGGACACTGGCCTGCTTTTGTGGGACTCACCACTTTGGGCTTGAATGGTGGTTGGATTTCCCTGTTCTCCAGTTTTTCCCAGTCGATTCTCCTGAAGAAGGCGTGCTCTCTGACGTCCCGCTCTCCCTCAGGCCCGCAGCCCAGCCGCTTGGCAGGGTGTTTGGTCATGAGCTGGAGAGAAAGAGACAAAAAGTCAGTCTGATGACAGCAGCCTCCCAAGAGTCAGCACCTTCCCTGGCCAGCTCTGCCTCTGGGCATAGATGGTGCTGCTGTCTGAGAACACACTGGAAGCTCACTTGTGCTGTGGCAAGTGTGGCTTTTGTAGAATGATTTTCACAGTAAGGAAGCAGCTGGAAACAATGACCAAAATGGAATAAAAATTCAAACAGGCATCTCTAAGTATTGTGTGCTTTGAACCTGGCATTCTGTATGGGAATGGGGAAGCAGGCACTGGGGATATGGCTCAGTGGTAGGGAGCTTCCTTTACAGGGTGTAAAGTTCTAGGTCCAATCCTTAGCACTGCCAAAGGGGAAGGGAGGGAGGGAGGGCGAGGAGTAGCAAGAGATGTTCATGTTATTTACATGCAATCTGATAAAAAGTTAGGGGTCACTAAAATATCTTGTGTGATGAAAGTACTGCAGGCCAGCATCATTCGGGATGCTACAACAAGCATCGAATTCCTCCTCATTGCCCAGATCTAAATATCAGGCACATGGGTTAGGAAAACACGTGTTGCAGCCAAGACAGCAAGTGGTTCATTTCAAGGTATCTGATGCAGGACTCAGAGGGAGGTGCCAACCCTGGGCTCTTCTACAGCAAGAGACTCCTCAGCTGTCACGGGCACCAGGGCCTTGACCTTCAAACACACTAAATAGGAAACACCGGGTGTGGTACACTCTCTTGGTAAATTAAGAACAAGAATTTTGTGATTTTCAGAACTTGACCACTAAAAATGACTTAAATCACGGCCACCAGTTCCATCTGTAGCAATTCCCTGAAAGAAGAGAGTTGGCCCAGGACCCAGAGAGTTCAAAACAATTCCATTTATAACAGCCTCCAGCCAAGGGGGAAACAATGCAAGTGCCCTCCCGCATGAGCGGAATTCAGGGCTGGACTGTCTGATGTCCACACAGTGAAAACCATGCAGCAACATGGAAGGGAAACATGGCTATTTGGGCACTTTTACTACTGCCATGCTGCGCTGAAGAGCCAGGTCTGGGACACCCACTGAAGAGTCCCCTCTGTGCAAAGGCTGAGATAGGCAAGACCGGTATGTGCGGTTAACACTGATTATCTCGGGGTGGTGGGTAACAGCAACTGTAAGGGGAGAGAGGAAGGGCATTTGGGGTTCGGTGTCTCTTGACCAGGGTACAGTTACATATGCATCCATTTCATAAAAACCCATTGATCTGTCTGTGGATGGGCTATACCCATTTTTAAAATGTGTCTATCTTAAGAGAGAGAAAGGACAAACTGTGTCTCAGATGTGGCAATTAGTTAGGTGAATTAATTAATTAGTTAGGAGGCCAGATGTGAGAATTAGCACTCCCTGAGAGCCTGCGATGCATGTATGTGAATGTGGGTGGAAGGCAGAGGGTGTAGGTAGGAGTGTGTGCATGTGTGTAAAGGCCGATAACAGGTGTCGTTCTTCCTTGGAACACATGGACTGGAGTTATGCTGACTGGCCAGTGGGCTTAGGGGTCCACCTACCTTTACTTCAACTTGGCTGTTTTACATGGGTTCCGAGGACCGGACTCAAGTCTTTGTGCGTACATGGCAATCACTTTACTGACTGAGCTGTGCCCCAACCCTGTGAAATGTTAGGAAATGGACTAGGAACTGGAGTGCAGGAGAATAAGAAGATGAGACAAGGTGCTTGGACAGTACTGGAATCCAAGTCTGTTGCATCTCCTTGCATGTCACCGGATTGGGCAGCAGCATTCATTTGTGATAGTTCTGGGGTCTCTCTTAGGAGGCGGGAAAAGGAAGCCAGGCATGGCGGTGCATACCTGTAACCTCAGCACTTGGAAGGTTCAAGCAAGAGGATTGCAAGTTCAAGGCCAGCCTGGGCTACATAGGGAGTTCAGGACTGGCTGAGCTAAATAGCAAGACCCTGTCTCAAAAACATCAGGTATGGGAGGGGTATTGCCTCTACTGCCGGGGAGGAAACTCAGATGCACTCACTCCTTTGCAGATGGAGACAGCTTCTTTGGACAAGGATTTGGGGTAGGACACGTTGTGCTCCATTATAGACTGAAACAGTTCGTCCTCATCTTCACCATCAAATGGAGGCTGTTCCACACAAAGAGGAGAAGACAGAAAGGTTAATGCATTATCACCGCGCTTGAAGATCTGTGAGAAGAACTGGACCACATTTCCCCACACACCGCAGGTGGCAAGGTTAGCTCTGTGAAGGCGGAGATTGATTTGATGATCTGTAATTAGGCTGCTGGTTGTGCATTTCCCATTTTTTAAACCGTCCCTTTCATTATCTTGCCCTGAGCAGCCCCAAATAATCTTTAGGGAAAAATGTTTTGGAGTAATGCGTTTAGTGATTTGCAAATAAATTATAATTAATCCATTAATCTGGTAATTATGTGCTGAAAATCTAATTATGAACAAGTCAGGTTACAGATGGTTTTATGTTTAGAGGGTATCTGTGAGGGGTACGGGGAATGCTCTCTGCCTTTACTTGGGGGTGGAGGGAACTTCAGAACAGGGCAGAGAGGAACTGGAGCCCTTCTGATCTGACAAGACCCTGTCCTGCTTGGTGTCAGTGACAGGAGCTAGCTTCTGGATATGTCCTTTGTCCCTTCTAGAGGGCTTACAGTCACCATCCTGAGGTATGGAGGACTGGAGGTATCATGGAACATCATAGCTTTGAGGTCACATGACTTTGGGCCAGCATTCTACTCTACATCCCAGCTGGGTGCCTACACTCAAAGGGCTTATCTATTAGACACACCAGTTCCTATGATGGGGTTTCTGGCTGGTCCAGAGCCCAGCAGGTGGTACCCTGAAAGAGCTCAAGGAAGGGTACTTACAGCTGTTATCGAGGCAGAGGAACCTCTTGGGATGGGGATGGGGATGGGGTGTAAGAGATGCCAAGAAGCTGTCTGTGCCCAAGCTGCCCTTCAAGCATTTTCCTCATCACATCTTTAATCCTGGGGGCTCTATGCTCTCATTCTCACTCCAGTAGGATGTGCCCAGCAGGATTGGATTTATGGGAAATTCCTGAATATGCCCTTTGCTACAACTAGCCTTGAATTCAACATAAAGATGACAGGGGTACCCCTGGTAGAGCGCTTTGATGGGGAACTGGGCATGGGGACAGGGCAGGAGAGCCACTGCTCAAAGGGAAAGACACCCAGCCTATAAAGAGCTCTCCCTCAGGGCTGGGCATGGGGGAATAGAGGATTGGGGGAATGGAGGATGGGGGGAATGGAGGATTGGGTTGCTGGTACCACTTCATTTTCTTTCTTTTACTCTCTAAAGATAAACAAAGAGCCTCTTTTCCAGCTGCAAATGCCTGGCTTTGAAAAGCCTGTGTGATTTGGTGGCTGTGTGCAGGTGAGTGAGGAGAACTAGAATAAGTCTGGCTGTGCATTAGTCAGAGCCTTCCATGGTGTGTAGATGAAACACGACATCAGAGGGACCCACAAGGCAGGTCAGTGGGGGAGTGCAGCTGCAAATGCCCTGTGCCGCCCAAGAGTTACCGCGGTGCCCGGCCTGCTGTCTGAGACACCATCTTCTTGGCCTTATAACAGGCATCCTTCTCAGTACCTCTTAGCTGTCACCCACACAGCATCTCCCTGACGAGGGACCCAGAAGAGGGTCTGAGTTTTGGCCAAGGGGTTTTCACAATTAAGACAAACATGCTACATTCTGAACTGGGCTGTGAGCTATACCCTGCCAGGAGCTCAGTGAAGTCTGGGTCTGAGGTAGGTATGCTCTTTGCAGGATAAATGGTGTCTTGGAGGTGGGAAGGGCATAGGTTCTGCTTCCAAATCATCTGCCTCCCAGTACAGCCTTCTAGATACATTATTTGTAGGCCTTTGACTCCTTATTCAAAACTACTATGGGGCTAGGGAGATGGCTCCATTGCTAAAGTGCATGCCATGCAAACATGAGGGTTTGAATGTCGACCCCAGAACACATTTTTAAAGAAGCAGGACATGGCGGTGCATGCCTGTAATTTTAGAACTAGGAGGTAGAGACTGGAAGGTCCCTGGATAGGCTTGCTAGCATAATCCACGAGCTCCAGGTTCCATGGAGTACCTGGTCCCCAAAAATAAAGTGGTAAGCGACAGAGAAAGACACCCGTGGTAACCTCTAGACTCCATACTACACATACACACATGCATATGCAACACTCACATATCCACACAGGTAGGCACACACATATATGCACACATGTGTACACACACCACTATTATATTTCAAGATAATGCCAGGAGAAAACATGTATGTGTGTGTGTGTATGTACGTATGTACTATGTATGTATGTATGTATGTATGTATGTATGTATGTATGTGAATAAATATATAAATTCAAGCTCTTGAGTCCATTGACCCTTGCTTGTGTGAATATTTTTTATGGCTGAGCACTTGGGATTAGATAACCATTCAGGGTGCTCATCTCTAGGGAAGGCTAATTCTCCCTCTCTCAGCAGTTTTTAATCCCCTATAACTTCATCTAGGGATGGTGTCCCACGTGACTTCCCCCATGCCCAATGGCATGTCAGGTGGTATTGACACTGTTCAGTTTTTAAGTAGCCATACTGTAGATATTTCATGGATATAGTTCCCCTGTAATATCTACACACAAATATCCTCATATTTTTTTATGGATTCTCAGTGTTTCTAATAGTATTTTCAAATAAGACACCTAATCTGAATCCTCTGTTTTTCTGACTGCTGCAAACACACTTTTCTTGGTGACCAGCAGCGTTCCCATTTAGGGCCAGAGTGCCACCAACACTTCTTCAGAAGGATTCATGGGTCCTTGGGTGCATTCAGAATTGCCTCCAACATCACATTCTAATAACTACCACAGTTGACAGCTAGTCAGAGGATCTCTGTGCACACCAGCTCTTTTCTCTGAATTACTTCTGAGGAACAACACGCAGGCGTGGGATTACACACCAAAGGATGTGAGCATGTTTATGTTCTTGCTAGGACTCTCTAGCTCACCCCAGGGCCTCTTTCCAGATAATTGCCTACTCTCAGGCCTTGGTGCTGAAGGCAGGTCAGCAGTGACAGGTTATAATTACATCCATCTTCCTTTCTAATAACACCAGCTACTACAACGTGGGGAAATCTGCTGCCTAGGTACTTGGTACATGACCATTTCAGACTGCTTCACTCCCCTACTGCCCCCATTCCTATGGCTATTTTTAAATGTCTACAAATCTGGACGCAGTGTTCTTAGCTCAGATCCCCATCAGGTTTGTGTAAAGAAAAATTTCTGAACATGTTGTACCCCATATCCCACTCTGAGAGCTCTGAGCTTTAATCAGACAAATGAGGTGATGGTTCCCACAGTACAAAGTGATTCCTGAATCACTTCCTAACAGGCAGTGGGTAAGAGCCATGTTGATTTGCAGATTGCTGTGGATCTGGACACACACACATGTATGCACATACACACACACACACACACACACACACACACACACACACACACTGGGGACACACAGCATAAACACATGCACACACACACAGATCATTTGGGGACACACACACAGACTATCTGGGGACACATGCACACACACACACACACACACACACACACACACACACACACACACACACACACCAACTGGTTCAAGCTCCAGTTACTGAGATGAAGCACCCGATGCTGATAAACAGCTCTGGAAAGAAAAGATGAGAGAGCCCGTCCCCTTATGACAAATACTGGGAACACTTGGAGGCAAAATGTGCTCATCAGAGGGCCATACGAGCACTATTAATTCCCCTCCCCAAGCAATTATGTTTGTCAAGCCGTTCAGAAACTGGACATAGACTCAGGCTATTCAGACTTAATGGGCCCACTTGGCTGCTGACAACTGATAAGCCAAAGGCACATACAATTGCAACCAGACACCTTTCTGGCTCATCTCTAGCTTTCTACAGTTAAGGAAGACAGATTTAGTGCCTAACAAGCTCATCATCCATCTTCCTTCTCAGTGGCTATATCTGTCTACTCCTGTTGCTGAGTTCCTATGGTTGTGGGTTTGAGTGACACCCATGGCTAGGTCACAGACACACCAGGAATTCACTTCTCTTTGCAAGGATCTGATTGGAACCGTGCTCGCTATTTGGTAGGCAGTCAGGTGAAGATTATGGAACAAAGGTTGTGGCCTGTGCCCAGCACGGCACCAGCATGTTGGAAACCTCGCAGGTGTCATTGTTGAGGACTATCACCCTTTTTGATCCAAAATAGAGACTTAGAGGGATGCATGCAAGGCAGGCTAAGTGGCTCTGAGAAGCAGTCTGGGGAATAGGCCAGAAGGCGTACAGAAGCTCTGGGTGTGGGAACAGGGGTGGTCCTTGGAAGGCCTGAATACCATCTCAGGGTATGCACACAAGGCCTGTGATGGTCTATCCTGTCAACTTGATGAGATTCAGAATCACCATGGAAACAAATGCTCAGGCACTCCTGTGCAAGGTTTCTAGAATTAGAAAACTGATGTGGGAACACCTGTCCTAAATGTGGGTGTCAACATACCATGGGCTGAGGTCCAGGACTAAACAGAAATGGGAAAGCCAGCTAAGCATGGCCTTCACCTCTCTCTGCTTCCTGATTGGATGTGATGTGACCAACTGTCTCCAGCATCTGCTGCTATGACCACTCTGGGCCTGGTACCCTGGCATTGTGAGCTGAAACAAATAGTACCTTCCTTAAGCTGCTTTTGCCAAGTCTTTTGTTAACACAGGCCCAACGGAGATTTCCTTCCTGGGCTTCTTACTAGAGAATGCATGCAGCCCAGGAAGTCCTGGGGAGGAAGGCAGGCAGGTCAGTGGGAGGGAGGAAAAGAGGGGAGAAGGATGGAAGGAAGAAGAGGATAAAGCCAGGACTTCGCTGCAGGCTGTTCTGAACCCTAGTCTTCTGTCAGCCATCCAGGAATCAAGGCATGGATGCTCTTGGCAAATGGAGTGCCCTGGCTGGCATATGCAGAGTGATTACTTGTAATGAAGGTGGGGTTTGTTTTCTGGGCTTCAGATCTCAACACTCAGGAGCAGGTGGATCTCTGTGAGTTTGAGACCAGCCTGGTCTTCAAGAGCTAGTTCCAGGACAGCCTCCAAAGCCACAGAGAAACCCTGTCTCGAAAAACCAAAAAAAAAAAAAAAAAAGGAAAGAAAGAATGGCTTGTTTGTTTATTCAAGTCTCCCCCCCCTAATTTGAGCACCCCTCGTAGGTGGAATGGGGCCACTTTGCCTACATGATCAGCAATGCTCCCAGGCGGCTGGTAATGCACAGCCAAGTTTTGTTCTCTTTGGTTTCTTTCCTCTTAGTGTATCACTAACATATACTTTCCTTATCTAATTTGTGGATTACCTCTTTCCTTCTCTAAGCTGTGAGCTGCATGAAGGTGAGAGTTATCCTCACTGGACATAGGAAGCATTCAGTGTGCAGATAAATTATGGCAATGGAAGAATGGACCACTCAGAATGGTGGGCATTTTCTCCCCAGAAATATATATGTCTGCGCTCAGCATGGGTACTTCTGTGCATTCTTCATTATTAAGGTTCTTGGCTCTAAGGTCAAGGTCCCCAGCACTAGCTCAGAGTTCTAGTAATTAAAAAGAAAAAAGCCACCAATAGAATTGTTGTGGTGATCCGAATGAGAAAGCCCCCATAGGCTCCTATGTTTGACAATTTGGTTCCCAGTTGGTAGAACTATTTGGGGAGGATTGGGAGCTCTGGCCTTGTAGGAGCAGGTGTGACACTGGGGGTGGGCTTTGCCATTCCTAGTTAGCTCTCTCTGCCTTTTACGTAGTAGGTAATGATGTGTGTGAGCTCTCAACTACTGCTCCAGCACCATGCCTGCCTGCCTGTTGCCATATTCCCATCATGATGGTCATGGACTCTAATCCTCTGGAACTGTGAGTCCCAAACTGAACTTTTTCTTTTATAAGTTGCCTTGGTCATGATGTCTTATCACAGTGATAGAACAGTGACTAAGACAAGAATAAAGTTGGGGAGCCCTCAAGGCTTCACTAAACCCACTGCTTCCAGCCTAGGTACCAGACAGCTCAGCCTCCCAGCCCACTCTACAGTTGGGAACAGTCGAGTGGCCTGTGCCACATAGGCAGGGGTGACTGCTGCCACTTAGGCCTGGTTCTAGAACATTCTCCGTGACTGTCCCCCAGCTCTTTCTTCATCACTGGCTGAAATGAGGTGTGTCAGTGGAGGACTCTGAGACCATCAACCATAGCAGAGAGAAAGGACAGGAGAAAGCTTTCCTCGGATTCTTGAATGACCGTGGATAAGACTCACCTTTCTCATCTGCCACCTCTTGTGGGTACAGAGGACCATACGAAGAGTAGGAGGCAGCCCCTGAGATCTGGGGGTTGTCTATTAAAGCAGTCAGGATGTGTTGCTGTGTCTCAGAAGTTGAAGCCATTGCATGAGGAAGTGCCATGCTAGGCAATGCACTTGGTTCTCAGATAAAGGTCACATCTAAAGTGAAATCTTACTTGCCTTTTCGTAACAGGAAGTTTAGCCTTGATAGGCTTGGGTGAAAAGGATACTTCATTGCCAACAGTGAGAAAGGAGGGGATAGGAAGGGGCTTCCACTGCTTTCTTTCTTTAATAATAAGTCATAATCAACGGCTGGGATGATTTCTGTTGACCAGCTTGTGGGGAACTACAGCCCTATCCCAGTTCTGAGATCCTGAAAAACTCACAGTGGCCACTGCTATCATCAACTTGCAGGGTGCAAAACATGGTGGCTGTTACACTCCAGCATGGTGGCTACCATGTCCACACCCCAGCATGGTGGCTACTGTGTCCACGCTCTAGGCTGCTATGTTCCATCTGGAGTTTTTATGATACGGAGATTATCATCTGCTCTTTGGATTTTTCCTCCCCCTCTCCCTGGGTCAGGGATTTGAAGCAACAGTAGCCCCACTGCACTGTCCTCCTGTCATCACTGCCTATGTCAAAGGAAGTCACATTACATGCAATAGCCACAAAGAAATGCAAACATGTAGTGAAACATTACCTGCCCAGCCAGCATCTCATACAGCAGCACACCGTATGCCCACCAGTCCACGGATTTTCCATATGGCTGGTAAGCAATTATCTGTGTGAAAACAAGCACATCAGTTATGTATCCCAGTAACTCAAAGAGCTCCTGTCGGGAGAGGTCAAGTCAAGCAGGCAGGCATGTTAACACAGTTCTTCCAGATAAGGTGCTGGCAAATCCTGCCTCGATTTTGACACAGACAGACAAGAAAAGGACCCTTCAAAGGGGGTACACTGAGAACTGCCATTCCAGGATACACCACCCAAATCTTGTTTCAGAATTCCTCTTCTGGATTCACTTGGAGATGTCACTGACTGTATGAAGATAGATCTACTTACTCTGGTGATGAAAAACAGTGAGTTGGATTTAATGGTTAAAAAACACAAGAGGGAGCTGGAGAGAAGGCTTAGGGATTATGAGCACTTAATGCTCTTGCAGAAGACCTAAGTTTGGCTCCCAGAACCCACATTGGGTGGTTAGAAGGGTCTGAAATTCCAGTTCCAAGGGATCTGATGCCCTCTGCTGGCCTCTGCAGGCACCTGCATGTACATGGTACACATACATACACTCAGGGGCACACACACACTTTAAATAATAAATAAATAAATAAACAAATAAATTAAAAAAGTAATACCAACCTTAACAAACCTTAAGAAAGTAACTTTTTAATGGCTACAATGGTTAGTTTAGGGGTAGCACATTGATGTTCAGTAAGTTAATACCTACTGATTTATCCCGGATGGCTGTTATTCTCAATAAGAATTAACTAATAAGAAAATTTACAGATAGGATCATACCAGCCTGCTAGCCTATATATAGTTAGTTACTTTATTCAACAATAGAACACAGGGACCTGGAGAAATGGCTAGGTTAAGAGCACTTGTTGCTTTTGCAGAAGACTCAGGCTTGAGTCCCAGCACCCATAGGGTGCCTCACAAATGTTTGCAATTCCAGTGCCAGGATATCTCACCTACTTTTCTATTCTCTGTGGGCACTAGGCATGTGCGTGCTACATAGACATATGTGCAGGCAAAAACATCCACAATACAACATTTTAAAAGATAGTGGGCCAGGGACATCTCTGCAAAAACCTTTGATTATTTCTTCAGGACAAATTCCTATGAGTAGAATTTTTGGGTGAAAGTAGTTCTTTTTGCTTCGGAATTAAAGCTTTGGACACACTGCCAGATTGCTTGCGGGGCAGCACAATGCATCCTGCCCGATCGGCAGCAGAAGAGTGAGTCCGTGTCCTTGAATTCTCACCAACAGCACTTACTGCCATTGTTTTCCAAAGTGCCAATTTGATGACTGAAAGTGATATTTCAATAGTCTTTCTATTTTCATTTTATTCACATGGGAATTAGACACCTGTGTTTCTCTTTTTAGTTAGCTGCCTGATTATCCTGACCGGCTGGCCCATCCATTCATTATTTGGGGACTATGGGAAGTGCTAGGGATACACTGTAGAAAGGACAAGATCCCTATCCTCACCCAGATGACAGGGTCATTTTTTATTGATTAATGAAAGTTCTTTATATCTTAAGGAAATGCAACCTCTGTTTTAATTTTTATAAGTACTCATCACAATTCATCAATGCCTTATGGTTTTTTGTTTGTTTGTTTGTTTTTGTATACCCTTTGATGGCTCAGGGTGTAAACTTGTAAGTAGAATGGGTAATGGATGGAGAGAGGAAGTGACATTTTACCTCCTGGCTGTGGCAGTTCCAGGCTCATCTGTCTGCCGCTACAGTGTGATTCTGGATACTCGTGGTCTGGGTGGAACAGGGTTGCCTGACCTCTGCTTGCTAGCAGTGAGCAGACGCCCACAGTGGCAAGCGACTGAGACATTAGTGAATAGACTCAGTTATCCCACTGCTAACAAATTGCTGCACCTCACATTTTCTTCAAAACTTGTCTGGACCAAATTGAGAGCAATGAGAGCCCTCTTCAGAGAGTGAAGACACCTTACATGCTTTGTCTCATGCCACACGATGGAGAGGCATGGCTATTCCCATTTTATAGATGAGAAAACTGAGGCTCAGAAAGCTAACAGACTTGTCAAATCCACTTGGTGATTAAGTGGTTTCTGAATGCTGGTTCATATTTTTAAAAGAGAATTTTGTGGCTTTCAAATATATCTATACTGGACTTGATAAGATATTATCAAAGGGTGTTAAAGGTTAAGGGGCCTGAAATAATTCCCAATGGTTTAAAGTATAGTGGTATAATGATGTTTGGAAAATAGTTGCATAAATTTCTCCCTCCAGCATACAAAGTCAGTTCCTATAATCTGTGTTACTCACTGTCCCACGGAGCTGATGTTGAAGCCAGGAGGTAGCTGGATAAATGAGGAATTTAGACTTTATTTCATTTCAGGCTGGCCTCCAACTCACGGCCTCCCCAGTGCTGGGATATTAGCATGAGTCATCAGGTATGCCACGAATACCTGAGCAGTTCTATCAGCCAGACTCCTGTGTTTGCATGGTGCTCAGTCATGTCTGATTCTAGAGAGCTGTGAGGGTGTGGGAATCCAGTTTCTGTTCCGACTGAGCTACAACTCCTAAAGGTCACAGCCACCTATAGAGTTGTTATCCCCTTCTCCCCACCACTCGGCCCCAGCTCACTCTTCTCTATCTGAAGCAATAAACTCCCATGACCCCCTGCTGACAACACCCCCTTCCTTCTCCAAGGTATACAAAAGCAGAATGTCAAATGCTGATGGCTTTTCCTCCACCCACTGCATTGCTGGCCCTGCTGAGCTGCCTGGACAGCCACCAGACCAAGATTCCAGTCACAGGGAGCACAGCCGGCTGTGCTGCCCGTTGTAATGCAAAGGTAGCATTTGGAAGGGATCCCAAGCACTCCCCTCTCAGAGAAGTCGTCAGTGCCACCCTCGGCTTGCGCACCAGATGACTTCAGTTCCAGGGTACAGTGTGCAACCTCAGCACCAAAACTTCCTTTCCACAGTAAAGCACACTTTCCCTCAGGGATCTGCGGCTATGGATAAAGATCTCTAAAGAACAAAAACCCCAGGGTGGAAGGGAAGTGGTAACTAGGGAGCCCTTCTTGAAGACAGGTGATCAGACCCACAGATCTGTGGTGCTGTCTAGAGACATGCTGTCCAGTGGCTATCAGCCATGTGTTTTCTAAACATACAAGATACGGCCAGTCTCAACTGAGATATCTCTAGGTGTGAAATGGTTATAAGATTTTGATAATTTCATTTAAAAAAGGAAAATAACTCCTTAGCATTTTTTTAAACTTTGGGCATACTGGGTTAAATAAGATATAACAAAAATCAATTCCATCTGTTTCTTTTGTGATCATTAAAAACATGACTGCTAAGTGCAGCTGCGATTGGTGCTTCATTCCCATTGGGTGCTGATGGTGCTGGGTCCTCAGAGTGTGCCAGTCTCTACAGTTCACTCAGGTTCTCTGGCTCGCATTGGCCTGTGGGGGGGCAGTTCTGAGCTGAAGACTAGGTTCAGAAAGCACAGAACAGCTATGAGGGTCTCTTGGGTCTGTCACCAATGGGGACAGATGCAGGTGCCTCTGGTATTTGTGGGCCAAGGGAGGCTTCCAGCCAAGCCTGGGCTGCCTGATATGCTGAGGCCCGGGGCCAGGGGCTGCCATGGCAATTTGGCTTCCCATAATGGGGCAGCTCACAAAAGGAGGCCAGCTTGGCAAGAAGGGCTAGACTTGGCGGGTTTCCCTGTAGCACATGGGAGGTTGAACTTTGGCTTTGAAGATAGACCCCGACCGGGGCCACTGTCACTCCTTTTACAGCTATTTGTCACTGTGATCACTGTGATTATACGTATATGAGCCAATTGCTTGGGGGGACTGTCAGGATGTTACAAATGGCTGCCTGTCTTGGAAAAGTGAGGTATGAATAGGCTTTCTTCCAGAACGGGCACAGGACCAGGGCATGAAAGGATCAGGGGGTGGCTTCTCATTTCCCATTAGACGGATGGGCCCAGTGAAGGCTACCGGAAGACTATCAGTTGAAGGCCACCCAGCCTTCTCCCATCTGCCAAGGCTACTGGCTTAAAGGCATCCCAGAGCAGTTGACCCTTTAGATGATGTCTGACTTCTGACAGGTCAGATATGGGAGAGCTTGGGGACACTGTGGGACAATACTGGAAGTAACAAGAACTAATACCAACATCACCACTACAGGCTAGGGTCTTTATCTGTTAATTCATCTAGAACTGAGGCCTATTTCAAAGAAGAGGAACTGAGGCAGATAGAGGCTGTAGAGCTTGCTCATGGTTATACAGCTAGGAAGTGGCAAGGTTGGACATGATCCTCGGTCATCAGATGACTTCAATGGCTTCACCTTTGACCATTTTAATATACTGATTGTCTTTGGCTGAGGGTGGTTTCCTAGACATCTCTTGGGAAAGCCAGCTTGGTAGAGGTGGTTCATTCTAAAGCTTGGTCAAAGACCCAATAGGAGCCAAAGAGCTGGGTAACCACCCTGCCCTCCATGCTTCTAGCACTCTGCCTATGGGCCCTGTAATTCTGCAGGGTGTGAATATTCTGATGATCCATCTGAGCCCAACACACAATAGAAAATATACTGGGGTGAGGTGGCTCTGGGTGCAACTGCTGGGGACCAGCTCTGCCACTTGGGGGCTAAGTATCCTTGGGCCAGTTGTTCACAATGGCTGGCTTGCCCCAGCGATGATCCTGGAACCCCAGCCTCTGCCTGGTAAGTATGTGGTAGGGATGAGATGGCATTGTGCACACTCAAGTGCGCTCCTGTCCTGTGACTGCAACACACATCACCCACAGTGCCTGGCATCAGAATCAAGAACAAAAGTATTCAGGGCAATAAAGTCAACCTGGCTCAAGGGAGGAGAGAGGAAAGCAGTTCCTCAAAACACACACTGACTAAACACTCTGAAATGATGATTGCCATTTGGACATTGAAATTAACATTAACCCTTTCAATTCAGTCCCCCAACAAAGTCTAGCTATGTCTCAGACACTACTTACAGCATGAAAGTGACTACAAAAGATATAGATACACATACGAACATATATAATACGTA